GCGTTCCCGAAAAAAATGGCTTGTGCTTTTGATAGAGACTGCAAAGTGAGAATTGAAAGGGAAAGAAAAGCAGCCTGAAATTGTTTAAAACTCATCTCAGTGCAGAGTACAATTCACTGTCACAAGAAGCAAGATTGGAAAGGGCAGACTGTTTTAGGAGCCTGTGTGCCGTACAGGGAGTGTCAGTGTGAACAGTCTGGCCTGGGCCAGGAATGAAGCACATCTTGCAGGGGATGCAGCCTGAATGGGATTTGGAAAGGAACACAGATTTTATAAAAAGGCAGAAATATGTGAGGAGATATACAGCATCGATAGGCAGCCCGAACCTCTGCCAGAGGACAGTCTTTAAGCTGGAGCAAAGATGATGCACACCAACAGTCTCCAGAGGACTGGGAGTGCACAGGGAATTACAGAGGGAGGGAGTCATCTCTGTGCATGAGGAATGCAGCAAAACCTCCTCTGACTAAGCCAGCTAATGCACACTGCTTTTTTTTTCTTCCCTGATAATCCTGTTCCATAATATTTCCTTAATAATTTAGTATGTGAAGAGTAGCCGTTCTGAAAAGCATCTAAATCACCAAATCTTGCTTTCAGATGAAATCTTGCTACCCCTGTCATTCTCACACACTGGGGGTTTTTATTTAGTACAGCTATTTGAGAGCTATCCTGGAATTAAGGGTTGGGGTTTTTTTTCCTTAATTACTTAATGAATTTACCATGTGGCACAACCCTTGGTACTGCCAAGCAATAGCTTCCTATTACTAGACTGTACAGGCCTGGTCCTACATAACCGAAGCCAAAAGCATTATTTGGGAACCAACGTTGTCATCAAAATCTGTAGGAAGCTTAGAATAACTATACAAAAGGGGTTAGTTGCACTCAGAATATTGATTCATGAGCTCCCTCATTTTTTGCATCGCTGTTCATTTTACCCAAAGAAGATCAACTGCCCAAGTGGACATATAATATATGATACTGCATTAGAACTAAGGCTGCATTTGGTCATATTCATTAATTAAACTGATTTCTCCTGTAGGTTTTTTTTTCCTAGAGAACTAACTGAGAATGATAATTAAGCATGTTATGCATTCTAGGGAACAGTGTTTCTCCTACTGCCACAAAAACATTAGAGGACAAAAATATGAACTTAAGCAGAAAATTAAGTGGAGGAAAAGAGCTAAAACTGGAATGAGAAGGGGTGAAGCATTACTTCCTTTGGTTTTTACTGACTCCTGTGCCTTGGGACACATGGGACAGCCTTGTTAGAGTAGAAGAGTTGCACCAGCAAAAAAAAGAAGAAAAAGCCCTTGAAATCCCAAGAAAAGCAGCCCAGCTTCCAGGAGCAGCTCCCTCCCTCCTCATGTACAGATGCAGATTGCAGTAATGCAGCACCCCAATTTTTTGCTGAGGAACTTGTTTTTATTTGTGGCTGAGCCTGAACGGAGATGGCGTGAGGTGTGAGCAGTGTTTAATTGTGCCTTTGCTTGCAGCATGCTTTCTCCTTACCCTGGAGAATCTTGCTGCTCGGTGAGGAGCGCCACTCGAGTGGAACGAGCAGCTCTGGCTGTAGGCAGGCCCTTTGTTTAGCTTTTCCCAAGTTACCAGTGCTGAGGGGGTCTTTATTTGCAAAAAGTTGTCTGCTCTGGGGGACAGTATTAGTTGTTTGCCTGCCAGCTCCTCACACACCAAAGATATCCAAGGAGAAAATGAAATTGTGTTGAACAATTTTACCTGATGAAATCTCATAGTATTCCTGTGTACTGCAATCAGAAAGGAAAAGGCCAAGGACGCAATTAGAAGTATAGGAAGCAGTTCACTCCCTCTATTTTTGAAAAATGCAAAGGATGCCAACATTCCAACACACCAAACTTTGCCATTCTTTCCTAATTAGCACCCGTGTTGATGGGCCGATTACCTGGCAGTCTGTAGTGTTTCTAATGAATTGATTTATGAAATCCAGTGTCTGTTTCCCCCTTCCCAATCTTTGATCTCTGGTTGTTCATCTATTACCTTGTTCATTTATTTATCTTAAATTCAGGGGTGATTTTTGAATGATCTTCATGAGACCTGGCCTCATTCAGACAGTCTTTGACCATCCTTGCTCAAAGACAGGGTTGCAATCAGGCTATGCCTGTAGCCCGTGTCAGGTCGGTACTGCTGCAGACGAAGCTCCTTCCTTTTACTGTGTCATCTTCACATGTGAACAGCTCAAGGGCCTGTGTCAAGGCTATGACTGCACAACTAAACCTGTGCTACTGCTCCCTGGGAAGCCCATGCATGCATGGTTCTGAAATGGGATGCATTTTGGGTGGCTCCTCCTTGCAGACGCTCAAACTTTTCCCCCCTCCTGCTCCTGCAGGCTCTAGAAACCTCTGCCAACAGACACACTTCCTAGCACAGCATTTTGTGGCTCTGTTGCAGGCTGCTTCTCTGTGCTTACTGACGTGTTCGGGCAAACTGCATTTGGGTCTTGCAGACACTTTCTGGTCAGGATGCTCCAAAGCTGCAGAACAGAGTTTCTTGGCCAGAAAAGTCTTGTTCAATCAGGTGCGAGGCCATGTGAGGAGCAGTCGGCAGTGGGATTATTCTCCGTGTGCAGCCCAACCTTGTCCCACCGTGCTGGAGCCTGTGCTGTGCATGAAGCACAGGAAGGAGCTCTATTCATATTGATTCGTATTGTGACCTATGCTCAGCTGGGAGTGCTTCTGAGTGTGGATGCAGGTTGTACTAGTTGTGTTCAGAGGCACAATCTGAGTTACAGCGTGACTATAAACTCCTGCCAAGAAAGACTCGGGAGAGTTACAGTAGGAAACAGAAGGGGCAGTGAGCTTTTTCTTATACTGGTGTGAAATTGGAGCAACTGAGTGAAGTCAGAAGTATTTAAAACTCGAATGACACAGGCTCAGGCTTTTTACTGCCGCCTGTAACATGGCAAGATCAGGGCTGTGCATATCGGGCTGGAGCCCAGCTGCTTATTTAGCTTTAGTTTGTGGTTCTGCCTCTGGTGCCGGTGATAGCGTGCACACACCCAGGCACAGGGACTGTAAACCTGCTGCGGACTTTGAGCTCCGGAAGGCAGGCGCTGCTTGGCTGGGCGCATCCACGGCTCAATTGCGCAAGGCCAGATCCCGCTGTGTTACAAATCTGGTGTAAAGGAGGGTGGAATGAGGCCCCTGAAATTCAGTGAATCTGGCATGCAAAAAACCCCAAACAATGCAGCCAACAATATACAAATCTTACAAATAGTCTGTGTGGCTTTTGAGTAGGCAGAACACCGCTGAACAGGTATCAATCAGGCTCTAAAGAACATGAATCCCTTTTATTTAGTGCTTTTTATTGTGACGCTAGTAATTTCAGGGAGAGACTTGTTTCCCCACGCAGAAAGACCAAATTTCAGTGCCTTGCTGCTGGAAAGTATCCAGCCAGGGAGATTCTGGTTTTAATGTTTGCCAGCTCCTGGGCAATTCGCAAATCAGTCGTCAAAATCTAGTAAACGATTCGTGAATTGCTTTGCAGATTGGTTTAGGCTAACTCTGGGCCACAGATGAGAGAGCTTGGATCTCCTCAAAGGAACGGCTGATAGCACGGATGGAAAGGGAAAAGTGTGCTGAGGCCTCCAAACTGGCAAAATAAAACGTCAGTTTTTAAATCTGATGCCCTTTTGTTCCTTTTTATTGAGTTCAGCAGAGTGCTCAAGTGCCAGTCCTGGTGTTTAAACATCAATTAGATGGAGTCTTTTAAATTCTAATTTTAAGAATACATAAAATCAGTGCTTAGGCTCCTTTTATTTTGGCAGATTCACTATTTTAATTGTTGGGTATTGTTTTTCCTTTGTGGATTTTTGTCAGATACAGTTTCCAGGTAAGGAAACCTTTCTTCTAAAAGTATCCTTTTTTTCCATTTCAGTTTTCTGACTGAAAATGGAACTTAGTTTCTAGCAAGACCATCATCTTGATTTATCACAAATCATTCCAGACCGTTTTGAGTATAATACCTAAACGAGTCGTGGTATTAATGACTAATAATCGCCTTTATATTAGGTCTAAAAGCTTTATTGTCCCGAAGTACAACCGGTTTAGTGGAACATGAAAGGCCGGAACGATCCGAGATGCCTGCTGGGGCTGCAGCCGAAACTGTAAGGTGTTTGAATCGCCTTTAACAGCGCCAGCTGGGATTACAGTCCCTTTCGAAACTCAGTCATTTAGGTGACTTGAAATAATTATCTTCTTTCCAGATATTTATTTTATTTATTTATTTATATTATTATCTTTCCAGATAGCGCCTAGTGCCGAGCGCTTCCTTCCTTCCCCCAGGGCTTCGCGCGCTCGAACATCTCCGTTTGGCCTCATTTTTGTGCTTTGGTGGTATCTGCACAGCCCAGATTAGCAGCGAGGATTCCACGGACGGGGGCCGCTGCCTCCCTCGGCTCCCAGGTGAGGTCCCGGAGCGGGGATCGGGCGGCAGCGCTCCGGGCTTTCTCCACATCCCCCCCGCGCCCCCGCCTGCTTGGCCGGGATGGGGACTGACCGGAGGTGCGGGGGGAGAATTTTGGATTGTACTGGGACAATCCGGGGCCAGCCCCGCGCGGGGAGCAGGGCTGGCAGAACCCCATGCTCCGGCCGGGTCCCCGCCACCGGATAGCAGGGATACTTGTCATATTTGCGGTCGGGGCGCGCTGGCCCTGGCCTTTCTGCCGGCCCGGCGCTCCACGGGGAAGCCGCGGTGACTGCGGGGGCCGCTCTTCCCGCCCGGGGCACGCGTGGGCAGCGCGGGGAGCCGGAACGGGGGAGGAGGAGGAGCAGGAGCAGCCGCGGGAGTTGGGGGGGCGAGGGAGGAAGGCCGGGGCCGAGGCGGAGCTTTGACGCGGGTCGGAGGGTGAGGAGCTCGCCGGAGCCGCCCCTGTCGTCAGTGCTAGTGGCAAGTGCTGGGAGCGGGACTGGTGGTGCCTCCTCCTTCTCCTCCTTCCTCTCCTCCTCCTCCATTGTATAATGCTGCGTGATCGCAGCCACCGGGGCAGAGCGGAGGCGTAAATCCTCACGCCGCCTGCTCCTGCCTCCTCCTCCTCCTCCTTTCCTCCTCCTCCGTATCCCACCCTGCCCCTTCCCGGAGCGGCGCGGCGAGGAGCGACATATGGAGCTGCTCTAGGGCGAGAGTTTCCGACCTCCCCCTCTCCATGCTTTAGTTCTCAGGTGGAGCTTCATGTGGTGAGTGGGGCTGGGGGGCTGCGGGGAATTGGGGGGGGGCAGGGGGCGGCGACATTCCCCCACCCCCTCTGGCTTTGCGAGTCATCGGGGTTTGTTTTATCTCTACCTTAAAATTGGTTCCCGGGCAGAGAAGCCCGGGGCGGAGATCATCTCCCTCTCCTCCGGGGGGGGGGGGAGGTTTCGTGCTGAGATGAGCAGAGGAGGAAGAGCGGCGGAGTTGACCTTAAAATACGCCCCCTCCCCGCCGATGCGGGGAGATCCCGAGCCGAAGCAGGTGCGGGTAGCTGGAATATACTTTTTTTTCGAGGTGGTTGTGCCGGCCCCGGGAGTGCGGCCGGTTGTGCTCTTCGGAGCCGGGCTCCTTCCGACGCCGCGGGAAAGCCGCGCCACCCCGGTAAGTTCGCATGTGCGCCGGGGAGCCCCTGGAACCGGGGGCTGAAGCCTGGCTCCGTTCTCCCAGCAAGAGCGGGGGCTTCAGGGAACCCCGAAAAGTGCGTGCCGTAGTGCCGGGAGAGCTGAAAGGGCCTGGGGGAGACTTTCACTCCGCTGTAGCAAAGCTGGCATATGGCTGGGCAGGACTCGGCTGGCCCCACTGCCTGGCCCTTTTCAGGGGTTGGTGTTAGGGCGGGGGGATCAGCCTGTCTTTTCCCTGAGCAATAGCGCGCATGGGTCTTCCTTGGGAGCACCGCCAGCACGGAGAGACAGGCGTCTGGAGAGAATTTTGTGAGTAAGGTGGTTCATCTTTTGGAAGCGACGGCAAAAATGTATATTTATTAGAATTTTCTTTGGGGTGGATGAACGCTTGGAAAAGAAGTCGTTTTGCAGTGCCGCCTTGATTTGGAGCGTTGTCTGCTTTACTCACGTCAGGATCTGGAAAAATAAGTTCTTCCTAAGCATGAAAATAGGAGTACAGTTACCTGCTGTCATTTCTTGCGTTTTGTGAAAGAGCTGGAAAGCCCAGGGCCACTTTAGCTGGAAATCATCGGAGGGGCTTGTGTGCTGTCCAGTGGGCCCCTTGGCTGATTTACAGCTGTGGGTCAGCCGCTGGTATAAAATAAAGTGAATTTGCCCATATTATCTCCATCGGGGGGCTGGGGGGGGCGGGGGCTCTCAACTTCTTTACCTGAACTTCAGTGCAGCACGCCAGAGCTGTTGCGTGTGATGGTGAGTGCTCAGATAGATCCAAGGCTCTCGGGAGCAGGGAAATCCAGGCTTTTTCATCTGATGCCTGGTGCAGTCATCAGGGTGACTCTCACTGCCGTCAGTGGGTGCTGGATTTGGTGACTCCAAACAACGGTGGGAGAGGGCTTGGCTGCCCCGAACACCAGTTTTATGCTTGTGTCTCTCAAATGAGTGAACACTTGCTATGTGTGTGAGTTCAAGCAACGCTTTCTACCTTTTAAAATTCTGATAATTTTAAGCATGGATCTGCACAAGTGAAGGTTCCTGTGTCTTACGGCTTCTTACAGGATACAAAATTGACAGAGGCACCTCAATTTGCATCTAAGGTCACAGGAAGCTTTCACATGAAACAACAGACTATAAAAATTAATTGTGTTTTCTTTAAAATGACTGCTATAGAAATTAGCCAACTGATCTAGTGGGGTAAGTTGAAAATAGCCCCTTCTGGCTGAAGTTAAAATGCATGTATTTTTACATAATAGGATGGTGTCTTTGGGCTCTGTTTTAACATAATGAACCAGTGGTGGTGGTAGAGATAAGAGGAGGATTAGGAGTTTGTGCTGCTGGACAGGTATCCGAGAGCATGTCCTTTGGAATACTTCCATTGTTCAGGCAAGTGTTGCAGCATCCAATGTAGGAGCTCTAGATAATTCCTTCTCTCATGACTGATCCTGCTTCCATTTAAGTTGGTAGCGGCAACCACCCACTCCTTTTCTGCTGGAACTGGATTGGACTGCTAAACAACGAAGCTAGACTTTGTGCATATTAAAACACTGCTTTGATTTTTTTGTCAAGCTGATTTCTTTTTCTCTGAAGCTGATTGAAAACAAACAAAAAGAAACTTGATAGCCATAGGTCCTTCAGGTTTTGTCTGTAGATGAAACAGTCTTAAAGAGCATTAAATACATCTGTAGGTGCTGATTTATTAAGAGTTGTAATTGTGTTCCTTTATACACCTGCTCTTTTTAAAGATGAAATAAGAGTTTCACAGGGAAAATAATAACGTAAATATACCAAGTGCTCAAATTTTCTGCCTGAGAGGCATCAAGGACTTTGAGATAATGTCCTAATAGCAAAGAAACACTCAAACTTCATATTCAAAATTTTTTTCATTTTCCATGAAGTACAGCAGATTTAATGCAGTATCTAGTTTGAAGGATTTTGCCATAATTCACACAGGCTGCTTTTCTTTTTCAATAAATATTTCATTGGGAAAACATTTTTTAGGAACTCTGACTTTTTTCACACTGATGTAAAGCACTCCTGGCACAGTTCATCTCTGGCAGTGCTAGCACTAGACAGGTAATCCAAAGTATTTGTGACTATTTTTGCTTTTATGTAACATCTTAAAGTGTAATCTGTCAAACAAGGAGAATGCAGTACTTTGAAAGTGTGAAAAGTCTTCTGGTGATCTACTTCTTATAAGGGCCAGGTAGCAAGAGTTCTTTTAACTCAGCTCTGTAGTGTAACTGTCTCATAAGGAGACAGCTCCAGTTGCAGTGGTTCCTTAACATGCACACGAATCAGTGCCAGAAATAGCAGCTTTCAGTTACCAAGTCCAAAGATCAGGAGTGTTTCAAAGGAGAGAGCAAGGTCCAGCTTCAATGTAAGCAGGTTGGCAGTAAGCATAGATCTTTAGTCTTGATGAATCTTTGCTAATTAATGGTTTGTGGAAGATGAAGTTTGCCAATCTGAGCACAGCACTCATTTTCTTCAGGGGTATATAATTGCATGTTTTCTGCCACTTCTTTTGATTTCTGAACTTCCATCAGTCAGAGAAACTGCTGTCATGAAGAGGTGCCTGTTTTCTGTAAATGGAGAGAGACTCTCAGCATGTGTTAGTTCTTTAATTCTTTTATAAACAGAGTCAATTTTTGTGCTTGCTGTAGTGGAGGCTTCAGGCTTGTTCAGCATTACCAATGCAAACACTATAACAAAAATAAGATAACAATGCTTGGCTGTTCAACAGGAGTGGAGAAAGCAAGGCCCATAAATGCTGTGTTAATGTTGCTCTTGAGTGTGCTGAAGTGAAGCCCAAACTGAGGTCCAAAGCAAATGTGTGTCTGGGAGACAGCAGAGGTTTAATGGGAGAAACAGGCTTGTGTGTCTCACAGCCTTGTCTCTTGACTGTGTGTCACTGTGCAGAGTAGAAGCTGCAGTGCCACCACGTTTGCCTCACTGATGGCTCCTGGTGAGCGTATCAGATGCTGGGTGTCATTGCCAAGTGGCCAGGAGGAGCTGTGAAGATGTGCTGGCTGGGACATTCCTCCAGCTCAGAGGGGATTTTCGAGGTGGGGAAGACCTGATTAGAGGGGCATTTCCAAGGGAGAGTTGGGGCAGTCTCCAGGGCTGTTGGGTGCAGCCTTAACGGCCTTCAGAAAGAGCTTTAAGCAGTGACTAGGAGTGGGAAGGCTTGAAAGGGCCAAAGAAACTGTCAAGTCACCAGAGAGCAAGTTTTAGTTTTCATGTGTCCCTTCTTTGAGGGTAGAGGCTCATCTAGCTCAAGTGAGACAGCAGCCACCACCATATCAGAGTGACTCTGGATTCAGGCTGCTGCAGTGAAATTAAAACCATGCTCAGAGCCCTGCATTAGGTGAGGTCAGACCACTTTTCTTCAAATGAGGGGCCAGGTTTGATACCTTCCTCAGCTTGGTACATAAAATTAGAGGTGTTGCCATAGGACATCTGAGGTTCCCAACCTGTATAATATGAGCAGTGTTTTGAGTACCAGTGATTTTAAAGATAAATTTCTCCTTAATATCACCCTGGAATTGAGTTTTAAGTGACATTGATTGACGTGAATCTCTCTGTAATTATTAGGAGCCAAACCTGTTTACTTTGCTTTCACACCAGTAAGGTGTGTTGGATTTCATCTGACAGTTTCCTGTGAAGTTAGAATAAAAATTGAATTCTTAATATAGTAGAACACAGAGAGAAGAATTCAAATGTGAGTTGTTTGTTTTTAATGTTATTTTGAAAACTGGGCAGTATATGGAAGTAGCAGAAAAAAGAAGTTCCCTTTTTCAAGGAGCCCTGAATTAGTGGAAAGATCTAAACTTACCCTAATACTTCCTCAGATGTAACAATTAAAACTGTTTTCTTGATCCCAGATTTTCCACCCCACGCCAGAAACTCGTACTGTTTTTGAACCACACTCACCTTTAATGGAAATGTGACAATTATTGGCTGTTTCTTATAGTAGCCTGTAACATTAGTCTTAAAAAACCCTCCTGTCGTGCCAGGCAGGCAATAAGGTTGAGTGAACTGCGCTATAGCAAGAGCCACCCATGACTGGAGGTAAACTATGTGGATATATGTTGGGGTGGAGGTTGAAAGGAGCGTGGAGGGCATATTTGAAGCAGACTGTGCAACTGCTATAGCAGGTCTGACAAGTTTGAGATGCCTAAAGGCAGCTTTGTCTTAAGTTCAGGTAGCTGCAAGATGAAGTTTTAAATCCTAATTCAGAAATACATCATCATCATCTTCCGGTGCCTCCACAAACTTTACTTTTCATGTGTTTTTACAGATGCTCTTTCTCCCTTGGAAAAAAGGATTTAGTAGGTACACGTCCACGTGCATACATATAATTTGCATATTTTTCAGATATACATTTCATCAAGATAGGAGACTAGCGTTTGTGTGCAAACCACAGTGGTTTTTTTTGAACAGTGGTGGTTACATTTTGCTTTCTCACTGCTCTGTGGGCCTTGTGTGAGACAAGCCACTCTATTTCAGCACTTTTGACATGGCCTGATTTGCTGTGGATGGGGTCTTGTGCCTGCTTCTGGCTCTATGTCAGAGCAGTGCCTTAGGCTTTA